AAGAGTGTTGTTTTATGTAATTTTTGCATGCAGTGCATAAAACCTAGGGCTTGAAATGGCACCTGCAACAGAATTTACTCTGTTATAACACATAAAATATCTGTAGACAGATGGGTGTTTCTTTTCCATGACTTTAAAATGTTGAAGATCCTTTGGGAGATGTAGTGAAGTTTTACAGTTGTCTGCCTGTTTGGGTTTCTGCTACAAAAGTCTGCCAGTGACTCCTGTTAAAATACAGAAAGTACAGAGAGAGAGGCTGGGAAAGAGACTCACACTTCCAACTAATAAAATGAATAATTTCCCAATAATAAAAGTAAAGTAGGAGGATTCTCTGGCCTTATGGATGGGCCATTACATGCTGGAGATCAGTCCAGTATTTAGAATTGTTTGTCACTAAAATTTAATCTTCATATATTTGGAAAGCTTTGTCTGAACTCTTGGCATGAGAAGCTGGTAATAGATGGGTTTTGTGTGATTGATTAGCTTTTTATCTGGTGGGATATCTGACACCAGTCACTAGCCGTAGCTAAGACTTGACTTTACTCATCATGCTCTCCCTTTTCATGCCCCTGGAAGGGGAAACTTTGGAAGTTACGGAGACAGAGCACTATGTTCTTCCTAGGTTTTGAAACAGTTGCCAGAATATACTTGGATTACTCTTAAAAGCATCTTTAGATTTGGCACAGCAATATTATGTCTCTGTGGAAGCCAGTTACAAAATCTGAATTACATGCAGATCTTCCATTCAAAAAAACATGAAGGTTCTGTTTTTCAGAACCAAGTGTTTCTTGAAGGAATTTCTTCATTTACTTCATGCTTTTTCTTGAATTAATTTCTTTATAAAACTCTTAAAGTTATTTATTTCTCTTCTCTGTGGGTGGTTTTGTAAGACGCTTCGTAAGATTTGGTTTTACATCTTCCAAGTGTTACTTATTACTTATGTGTTGCCTTTGTCAGTACTCTTTGACTTTTCTTCATAGGTGAGGAATATAAGGAATATCCAGTGTTTTCAGAATTTTTTTATAGCATCACATAGAAATTCTCTTTAATTACTTGTAGGTATTATTCCTGTATTTGAAAGGGCCAGGTATGCGTACATTTGTAAGCATGTAACATGACAAAGGAATGGCTAAGTTAATCAGCAAAGACATGATAAAAGGTATCTTTATAGCAATGTAATCACTGTAGAAATTTTCAAAGCTTTTTATTCTGTTTATTTGAATGTGACAACTTTAAACAAGTAAAAGAACTTGGAAGAGCAGACCTGGAAGAATGCTGGGGTGGTCCTTACCTTGGGGAACTTTGAATAGGTGTGTGATCCAGTAAAAGCTTAAGAAAAAAAAGTGTAAAGAAAAGTAATTTTTAGCTTGTTTGTTTTTAAATACATGATATGATCATGTTTTTATCAGATGTAGTGGTTAGGTAGAGTTAAAGTTGTATCTTAGAGTATTGTTTTTATAACTGAATCCTGGAGTGTTTATTCTGTATAGTATCATCTTGTAAACTTTTCTGTGTGTAAATGGAATAGAGGGCGAAATAACTTCCCAAATTGCTGTTTCTTTCAGCTTCCAGAAATGCTTCATGGAGATGGAGATAACGAAGAGCATGGTTATTGTCCTGTGGGGCAGTTTATTCTTCAGAATCTAGGCCTGCTGCTTGGATTTGCCATCATGCTGGTGATAGCCCTCTATGAAGATAAAATTGTACTTGACATCCAGTTTTGACCTAATTCTGGTAATCACTGTGGTTACAATAATGTTACTGTATGGCTTTGAGTCTGCACTGTTTCACTGTATGCACATTGCTCAGAGGAAAAGCAGTGGCTTGCACTACTTACACAAGTACAGTATATTCATTTCTGTGTAGATTAACTTCTGCTTTTTTTCTAATTCAAATCAGATGAGATTATCATCCAATGCATCTTCTAAACTCAAATGAGTGACAATTAGGAAATACTAAATATGAGAAATAAATGCCAAGTTCATGTACTATACAGGAAGCACTGCTTGTTTAAGAAAGAAAAAGTACAGTGAATGATCTACATTTGGGAAAATGCCATTTCATTAGTACATTTGAACAGAACCCAGAAAATGTTACAGCTGAAGTTCACACCTCTGCAAGGAACCCGAGTAAGCTTTTAGTGCCACGTAAGTCTTAAAGTAGCTCATATATACATATATATATCTGTATGTATATATAGATATATATAGAGATGGATATATAGATATATACAGATGTGCATGCATGTATATGTGTGTGCGTGTATGTATATATTCATTCTGTGCTGATTCTTCTGCATAGTGGTGACTTGAAGTATTAAATCTCCCAACAGCACATGACTGGAAACCACTGGTTTAAATTTTAAAAATGAAACCAAAAACCTAAACACTGTTTAAATTCTTAGAGTATGTATGTGTTAAGCTGCACTCCATCATTATGAACTCCATGTGTAAGAAGGCAGGCTGTTGCAATATATTCCGCAAAGTGCTATGTTCTGTCGAGGATCAGTTTGACGATGTTTTTCCTGACTAAGATTTATTTGATGTTTGTTCCTTGATATTAGTAGGAAAATGCAAAATGCAGTAGAATTAGTGTTAGCTTGGGGAAATCCCTGATGTTGGAGTTATTGAGCTATTTCTGGTTCTTTTTTACAGATGCTAAACATGTATTGTGTGCCACTTGCAGCATAAACTACTGAAGAATTGTGGCTGTGAATTTGTGCAAACTCTTTTAACAGAGAATCCATATGGGAATTTCTCCTTTTTTTTAACAATTATTTTGGACTGTTTTCTCCTCCTCATGTTAAAACAATCCAAAGTGTAAGAAAGACACTAGTTGCTGAACCTGGGCACAAAGGTTAAATTATGGTCTGTGTATGTAGTACTGCTAGGTTATTTACAATACTATAATACCAGATCAAAATCTGTTTCTACAATGCCTTTGATATCAGACATTGTAGCACCAGCCATTTCTGGCAGTAGAGAGTATGTAAGAAGATTTCTACTTCCAGCATAAACAAGTTAATTTCTATGATGTTTTCTTACAGTTTTGGTATTAATTAGGTTATTAAAAAGCAGATATGACAGACCCACGGTATGTGTAAGTTGGAAGGATAGACTGAAAATTTGGGCCTTAACTTCTGGGATCAGCTGTCCTAGATCGGATTGTGCTGATATTCTTCCATTGCCAGATGTGAATTAGTTCTTGTACCCATCTCCTTAAAAACATTGTGAGTTTGTGAGGAGTGCAAGTTGATGCTGTAGTACCAGTCCTAAGCATGGTAGTAACCTTTTTTAAAACATACAGTTCATCTTCTTTTACGTGTATGCCAGGTAAAAGCTGTATTTTGACTATGTGCCGTAAGTTTTTGTTTAGGTCTGCTTGGTGCCAGTGTAACTGCTAAGAACACTGATTCTAATGCCTTTAATGAGAGCCAGTTGGTATCTTCATTCCATTTCAAGTTGATGTGTTTCCTGTGGCCCTTTACTTTTTCAAGCTTCATTGGTCAATTAATTTTTACTGAGGGCAGCTCATGTATTTTAAAGATATTGGTTGGTTCTTGCCAGTATTTCTTCTAATGCAGTATCAAGAAACAGTATTAAGGGTCCATTTCAAAGACAGGCATAGTTTCTTCAGTGAAGAAGCCAAAAGCCCAGAGTTCAGGCTTGCAGCCATTTGATGCTCTGAACTCCAGTTTTCTTTTTTCTTCTTTAAAACACATTTACTGTTGGACCCCAGTTAGCAAACACGCTGTTGTTAGCTTCAGATGACTGAATTTCTGCAGTGTAAAGATCCTGGGTGACACGTTTTCATAGTGCCCATGTCAGGTCACCGACAACCATTTTCAAAGAGACTTAACTCACTGCATACCTTCTGAGGATCTAATTTTAAACAACCTGTTTCTTTTGTATTAAACTGACCCTTTTCTGTTAATTAATTCTGTTGAGTATAAGGGGGTCATTATGTGGTTGAACAGATATTTTGTCAAATAATTTTTCAAAGGTTATTTCTTTTAAATCTGTTCAAATGAAGATTTCTGTATTTCCGGTAGTATATTTACTTTTGTATTAGTTGGAATATAGCTTAATACACTGCCTCTATAGAAAAACAGTTAACTGCCTTCCAAGACCATCTTCAGACAAGGGAAAAACATGGTCCTTGAAGGTAGGTACTGTATTTATCATGAAATATGGGTTATTTCATTTTCTAGTATTTATTACAAGTTACGAAGAGCAGTGTAACAGCTGTGACTTCTATATGTTTCCACCAGTATTGAGTTCCAAATGATTTTAATGTATGCTTTTGAGTCATGTTACAGACAATCTGAATTCCACTACATTTCTACTTGGCTTCAACATTCCATTCTGCTTGAATCCAGAGTCTCATTTAACTTGTATTTGTTGGAGGGCATAAATGTTACTTGTATATTACAATGCTGTCACTGTGTGACATCCCATATGAATTTTGATGTAGATCACATTGCACTCAATCCGCTGTGATTATGCTTCGAAAATACTGTAGTTGCTAGATGCAGTGTGATTTCTTTTCATTTTTAATTTGTTTTTTCTTTCCCTTCCCCATTAACAATTAAGTCTATGGTTTAAAATGTGATTCTGGTCCTATAAGATAACTTGCTGAGCTGTCAGTCTTTTTGTTATAACTAAATAGGTTTTTTAAATTTTATAAAGCTGGAAATGATCAAATGCTGTTTTGTTCATTGTCAACAGTGTTGTGTTCATTTTATGTATGTTCCTTATAAATAAGGAGCTTTCAAAAAAATAAAATTATTCAAGGAGCAGATATTTTTTGTTGGCTTTTATAAAGTTTTATTGTGCATGTTTGTATTTTAGTATCTGTATTTCACATCTCAGGAAAGGCACAAATGCAATATTGGAAACAAATTCGTTGTGATTTATCTTTTAACGTGGACTTTCAAGACCAACATGCACCCTTTATAAGTGATCTGGAATATGCACCTACCTCTCAGAATGGTAACAGGTTTATGAGTTAAGCTGACAGAGTAACGCCACACCCCGTCTGATCCAGTGCTCTTCGGGTTTGTCTGAAGCAAGAGTTACTGCGATGACGAAGTTGGTGGAATGGCCTGTAGTTGACAGGGTCCCTCTTCTCTCGCTGGTCTTGTACAATGGCGCCAGGTAACTTGGTCGCTTTGGAATCTCTGATCTCTTAAATGGCTTTAGCCATATCTGCAGTAAAGAATAAAATAATCCTCCGCATCTCAGTTAAAAACAGAAACAGGGCAACAGTCTCAGCTTCGCTGAAATATTGGGACGTTGTTGGTTTTTTGGTTTGTCTGCTTTATAACAGACAGCCCTGAAACTGTTTCTTGTTTCTTCTTTCTTAGCAGATTGCTTCCTCTCCCAAAATACGCAACACCCAACTTCCTGTTGCTGTCTTTAATAGCAGAGTAATCTTAGCTCCTCTCAGACAATGTATTTCCATTTCAACACAAAACATTTCAATTAAATTGTTTCTTAAGAATTACCCTGTTCATTCTTTGAAGACTAGAAATTCAAGAGTATTAATTCTACAGTATTTGTTAGTGTATAATACTATAAAATGTCACCAAACAAGAGATACTGACCACAGGCACTGTATCATAGAGGACTTTCGGATGAGATTCTCCAAGCATCTTAGTTTGCCTGTTCCAACGTGCTCCATCCAAGAACAACCCCTGAACGTAGACACCTGAATCAGTTGGAAAGGATAGCATGTTACCCAAGACCTGCAAATATTCCTAGCTGAAAGCAGAAGGTAGTGCAGTGCACTTTGCGAACTGTCAGTTAACTGAGTGTGTGGGACTTTTGTGTATTCCAAGTGACGATCACATAACTTCGAGTGTAACAAACACCACCACATACTTTATGGCTACGAGTCTGTAAAGTTTTATAACGTTACAATGTCTAGTGATATCACGAATGATCAGTGACAGCTTAACAATTATTCCGCAGTACAGGCCACTGTTTTTAAACTTGTCATTATTATAAAGTTTTCTGTACATGCTACATATTGTCAGCTTTAATGTTTCCAAACTGGGAGATTTTATCATATAAACAGTCTTTCACTACTTAGGCTTCACATTGTTTCATTGCTTACGTTTAAAATTGCTACTTGCTTATAGCTTTCTAAAGCAGTTCATTAAAGGAGTAAAGTAGAAGTTTTAAATGTTTAAAAACCATCAATATCTTTATTATTTGACATGTCATCATGACATGACATGACATCTCATTCCCTCAGAATTCCAGAAGAAAGAAGGTAACAGCATCTGGTTTTCATCAGATTTGCACCCTCTTGCTCTGTAGACTGAAAACTGTAACTTCCAAAACAAAGAGTAAACATACCCCAACAGGAAATTACTTGAACTGACTGGATGTGGCTCTCCCAGGCAACATGCTAAGCCCGTCTTTTTATACAACTTCCAGTCAAAATGATCCTCAGAAAGGTATTAAAAAGAGTATTAGGAACAGTTGTTTAAGCTCTGTTTCTGAGGAAGGGTAGGCTAACAAATGTTATCTGCAACTGGAACCTAAAGTAAGTAATACATGATAAAGCAGTTTGATAAAAATATAGAGCTTTTCCCTGCTTAGAGTGGTCCCTTATTGCACATTGTGATCATATCTGTAAGATATTTTTCTAGGGATAGTTAAGGTAGCATACCCAACTTCTCTACTGAATGCTTGGTTTTCCTTGGCTTAGGAAAATA